CTTTAGAGGCTGAGTCGACGCAGGTGAGGCAGAGGACCGATTCTGATAAGCGTCACTGGTATCGGCCTAAGCTGGAATCGAACTCGGGTCACCGGATTCGTAGCGCAACACGCTAGCCGCTAAACTACGGCTGGCTGATATTAATGCACACACACACACGCATGCAGCTTCACTGCACAAGGCTGGCAACTTACATGGTTTTTATAAAGGGGGCAGTCTTGTTCACTTTACTCCTCTTAACAACGCTGTGCGAAACTGACAAGGCACGCACCAGATTGTCGTCCGGAATTCAAGAGAAACACATTTGCCTCAATTAACTTAAAATAAATTTCGATTTAAAGCTTTCGTGACTGCAGGGATTCATCTTCTTGGTTCTTTCGGTAAAGTCACGTAGAAGGGAAGTAATAAAATAATAAAAATAAAACATAATAAAACAATTTCACACCATACGTAGACAACTTCGCTAAATCAGATAGATTTACCCTGACCGTAGAGTGGTATAACGTCACATGAATGAGGGGGTTGTTATATTATGTTTTATTTTTATTATTTTATTACTTCCTTTCTACGTGACTTTACCGAAAGAACCAAGAAGATAACTTAAAATAAGCACCACATTTTCATAGCAGCTTCCCAGCACGCATTAAGCCAACGTTGGTCCAGCGGTCTCAACCACATGCCAGCACTGGCCCAGCATTGGGCACGTCTACTGGGGTAGATGGCCACTTGCGTTTTACAATTCCAAATACATAAAAAACCTTGGATGGCGAGCATAATTCGTTCCGGAAACGTGTTTGTAATCCAAAGCACTCGTACATCAGTTGTGATCACGTGACGCTCGGCAAACCATATACAAGTACTACTCGTATTGCAAGACCTCGCTCGTTTATCAAATTTGTATTTATATAAAAAATGTGCTCGTCTTGCACTCGCAGACCAAGTTACTAGCAATCCAAGGTTGTACTGTATTTACATTGCTTCGTGCTCATAGGCACAGTAATTTTTTTTATTATATTTATATCAGAAAAATATATTTAATCTATTGTCCTCGAACGCAGCCTACCTTTGCAATACACAGTGCTGCACTGCAAAATATGTTTTTGGATATATTACCAGGTTCTCCATATATTATAGAAATAAATAATGTGCCATTGGTGGCTATGCTTGTGAACCACTGCCAATGCTGTGGCTATTTATTTTTGTATGAAAATACGGAGCATCTGGTTGTTATTTGTCTAAGTATTTATAAAGACTAAAACCATAATTTTACACGATTTACAGGAGGAAAGTAATGCAATTGCATTAGACGAATGTATCTATCTGATAATACAGGTATTGCCAAAATTCACTTAAGTGTATATGACAAAACAACGCAATGTTTGTTGATATTTGATTTACAATTGCATTAATTACCGACATCAATCTTGGGGTAACATAACTATTTACGTATACACCGACCATACGTACATTCCTAGACGTACGTATGTACACAACATACAGTACACGGACGTTGACTTTAGCTGCTCGCTAACACACCTGTCTATGTATGCATGTAGAACTTCTTTCACACCATACGTAGACAACTTCGCTAAATCAGATAGATTTACCCTGACCGTAGAGTGGTATAACGTCACATGAATGAGGGGGTCAAACTGCAATGGGGGTGGCCGCCCCCCACACGCAAACGAAGCTGCCCCCTTCCTACGTGACTTTACCGAAAAAATCAAAGAGTTTGGAGCTGCCCCCGCTCGCCCTCCACACGAAAACGAAGCTGCCCCCGCTGCTCTCGAGCCGACGAGCAGCCGGTGCTCTGAGCTCTGGCCAACGTCACCACGTCTCGCCAGGGAGCGGAGCCGAGCGTCGGGTCGGGAGGGAGGGGGTGGGGGGGGGAGTCCAGGCGACGTAAATTTGCGCCGAAATGTTTTCGCCCGACGGAGCCCCCAAAAAGGTCTGCCCCGTCAAGATGCCACCTTCGGAAAGGGCCGCCCCTTCAAGCAGTCCTATCCGATTAGGGGGGCGCCGGGGAGAGAGGGGACACGTGATGCGCACGTCCACCCGTGTTTGCGTTCGGCAGACGGAGCGGCTGGCGAAAGAATGGCGCGGGCAACACCGCGAGGCATGAACCTGTCACGGCGCACCACTCTGCAACCCGCTAACTAGTTTGCATTTTCATTTTTTTATTATTATTGTTGTTTCTGTCGTGAATGCGTCGCTTGCGGGCACACGAGCGTTTCGTGAGCAGCAAAAGATACGACGGTGAGCAAATGTTTCGTCGGATCACGCAAATGTGTATCCGAATAATTGTACAATTGAAGGAATCAAAAATCCCACAGGGCTCCGAGAGATTCTGGTGAGTGTCCCATGCTCCGGCCGGATACCGTGATTGTTATTGTACCCAAAGGCTGTGCGAATGTGAGATGTATGGTTCGTTTCAAGATGTTGCTGTCGTAATAAATGCAATAAAATAACTGCGGCGCCATCGCAAAATGTATATCACCGACAAAGAAACTAACAATAAAATAATGCAAAAATCTAGTTACTATACCTCATACAATATATATTTCATAAATTATATAGATAATACCTTATTATAATGTTAATTTAAACACCAAATATGAAACAATCGAAAGCTTGATGGAGTATTTCCTTTCCGTTGTAAATAATTCTACTTAATACTGATAACGTGTGCATTATGTGTAAAATCATGCAAATCAATTCAATTTAGCTTAACAGCAATAACAATTAAGACAACTCTGAATGAAGGACAACTTCCCTCACACGGTGTCGGTCATGGGGGTGTTTCACCGTACTTCACCACACTGGTCAGTGCAGGTTGGTGAAGGGGAGGGGTTCAGAAATCACTTGCCAATGATGTCAGCTATGGCCGGGAATCAAACTCAGGCCTAATTGGTATTAGCACAGTGTACTAACCATCCATTATATAGGTTTTATTGGGTTAGATATTGACGCGATTTTACCCAATTTTTTTTTCCATTATGGACGATATTGGTCGCGAAAGCCTACGTGTTAAAGCATACTAACCACTTTACCACCTCTCCACCCCAATGTACAAACACAAGAAAGATTTAAACATTGTCCATGAACCCATATGGCTGAAGTTCGATTAAACCATAACGAATTAAAGAATTTGAGACGTAAAAGTTCAGCTTTTAAAGAAATATCATAAAAACATAAGACCCTTCTCAGTGCCTTTAAAAATGGCCATATTGCAGAACAGCCAACCATTTAAATGCAACACAGCCATTTGCAGACACATGGCCAGAATTCCACTCTCTGGGTTCTCCCCCCCCCCTTCTCGCTGCAGCTCCATTGAACACACAGGATGTCAGGAAATGAGAAACACCAGGAAAGAACAAACTGCCGTGGCTTTCCTAGAAAACCCCTGTACACACCAACAACCGAGCCTTTCACATGCTCACCTGACCTGCCATTGCCGCTGAAATGCTTAACGACAACACGTCGTACTCAGATTGTAACGTCGTACTCAGATTGTAAATGTTGTGGCTTGCCTCTCCAACACACCAGTCTGCTGTACTAGTATACTACACTATACACTACACTATACCACTACACTACTATACACTACACTATACACTACACTATACACTAGTGCTGTACTAGTGACGAAATGGAATGTTCTGTTGACTTGACAACCCTTACTAGTTGGCTGTGTTGAGTGGTGGCGGGTTTTAACGACACATTTATAAATTTACGTGATCTAACCCAAAAAAACCTCTATTATTGACTATACATATTGTTTGCCATCTCAGAAATATCATAATAAAAAAACATGTTTACAGCCCTTTTGTTGTTCTTAATCCACTGCTGCGTGAAGGTCTCCTGAAGCCACGTCAGTTGTGAGGGTTCTTTGACCATACTTCACCACGCTGGTCGGTGTGGGTTGGTGAACGGTGGTGGGAGGGGGCAGAGGGAGGGATCGAACTGAGGTCGCCAGGTTTGTAGTGCAGTGCGCAGAACTCTATAACAGTGCTCCCCCGTGCCTCATTGATCAAATGCAAAAAATAACAATTTGTGCTGCAAAATAAATATTTTTTTTAGATATTTTCAGTGTCAAGCATTTTGAAATAGTTTCCTTCAGAGTGAGATTAGAAGGGACGAGAGTGATTTGCTAAAGCCAGAGCTGGAATGAAGCATCTTTGCGTTGATTCATATCGATCACGATACACGCATAGAATAATGTGTAAGAATATTTTTTTGGTGCAATTGAGAAATGTCCAACGAATACCAGAAATCCTGAAAAATAGTTGAAAAACAACCTCTCCATGAATTGGACCGGTTAATTTTATATGAAGGCTTTCACAACCGATATTTTAATTGGTTTATTTGGGGTTAGATCGTGGTGTGGGGAAAATGTATTTCTTTTTTACAAAAACCCTCCACCACCCGATGACAGAGCCAATCAAAGCAACTTGTCACGTGAGCAAATATTCCCAGCTCCCACCAGAGCCGAGCTTTTGTTAAACACCCGATGATGCTGGTCCTAATCTCCAGCGAAAGGTCATACATTTTTCTCGCTTTGCAAACATTCGCTACGGTTTTGCTCATAAACCAAGTCATACTCTTTGGTTCTTTCGGTAAAGTCACGTAGCTAGAAATAAAATCAAATAAAACAAATCACGACGTTTCGGGCGCAACACAAGCGTCCGTCATCAGGTGGGACCACCACAATAAGAAACAATTGCTGAAGTGGGCGAGTCAATCGACACATTTGCCCACGACGTGACAACTTGATTCGATTGGCCTGTCAGGTGGTGGCGAGGTTAGTTATCGTTAATATTTTACACAATACCTACACGACGATCCGAGCCAAAAGAACCCCCAATAACGAATCACGAATCGGGCCCCGTCGGAACGTTCGACGACTCGCCGTTCACATGCGGGTCTCCCCTGTGCGACAAATGCGATCGCAAAGCTCACAGCGGACTCTCGCAAGGGCGGTGTGAGAGCGCGAGGCGTACCTTGTCTCCCTGTTGCGGTCTCATGAGAGACACCCGATCGTAGCCGCGCCGTAAAAGCACCCAGATGGTATCGAGCTTCCCCTGGGAAACAAGAGGACGACAGCAAGAACACCACACCGCCGGCAGCAACTTCGTTAAACCAGCATCCAAACCCAACCGCGGCAGTGTATCTGGCCACATCTATACGAGCATCGTGTTGTGTTAAAAACAATACGTAGTTACGGTTTAGTCAATCAACGACTGTTTTTGTGTCGCTTGTTGTTCTAACGTTGTAACGTTTCAACGTTCTTACCCGCCCCTAGTGGACATCTGTGAAAAAAGAGCTTGATAGCGCATCGGATTCCTCCAGTATACATAAACACTCTGGATGAAGGTCCGCCCCGTGAAGTGCCAGTCATGAGTACCGTTTGACTATTTCACCGGCACCTCACTGTGCTGGCCAACGCAGGGTGGTGGAGAGAGGGTCCCAGGACTAGCTCGAATAATCATTCGCCACGGCCGTTCGCCGTCGTCGGGAATCAGAATCAGAATCTTTATTATTGCTGGAGAAATCCGATGAGCTATCGAAGCTCTTTTTCAGTAGGGGTGGGTAAAATCGTTACAACCACCAAACAATACAAAACAACAATCAGAGTGCAAAGTATAGGAAAGGAAAGTAAATCTCTTAACATTAATACATAATACTGGTAGGAACCTCCTGGTTACACCAGCCCACAGGGGATTATTGTGTCCGTCCGTCGTGCAGGGAGGGGCTGAGTGGGGAGGGGAGGGTGGGGAGGGGCTGGGTGGGGGGTGGGAGGGGAGGGGCTGGTCACCCCGTGGTGCCCTTATAAAACTCAACGTTTAACCTACTCACGCCGGCTTGTGCCCGCCCTCACAGTCGGGCATATTTGCGGAATACACCACGCTGCCGTTGACCCTGGCCATTCACCGAGCAACCCAACGTTCCTACCAGCTCCCTCCGCAGGAATGTGTTGTATCAAACTCAGGCTCACAGATTTTAAAAAGCAGACTACTCTGGCATTGGTCTGCCCCACGTGATAATAAAGTTGCATTATAATGACAACAATGTACATGTTTGCGTACCGCCCGTGCTTGCAAGTAGGCTCAACCTGTAATGAGTAACTGATGCGCTGAGTAAACAACGTCAGCACTACGGAGACAAAGGCTGCCGAGTGTTCCGTTGTCCACATTGCCCCCTCGTGCACGATGTCAGCCTTCATTAGATGCTCACGAATATCACTTGCGGCAAAAGTCTGTTAAAAGCTGCGATGGCGATCTTTGTCTTTGGTGTCTGCAGGTCGACTCGGCCTTAACTAAGTATGTGGTGTGGTGTGAAATGTAAACCTCGGCATTAGGGAGTCGTGTTTACCACAGTGACACGGGCCTTCACAGTTGCTCACTCACAACAATTGCCCCAACAATCTGATGAGAGGCTACACGGGGGGTTTTGTCTTGGTGTCTGTAGTGGGGAGTGGTAGCACCTGTGGTCCGTGCAGTGCCATGAACACAGCTACCAGAGTTGTATTCCCGGCCAGATTCCTACTCGTATATATATAAAACATTGGATATCCTCTCGGACATCGCAGCCTCCTCACAATGTGTGAAAATCAGTGGGTCTCTTCACCATCGGTCTTGACGCGTGCTTTACGCTAAAGGACATGTGTTATGTATTAAGGTGTTGAACTTCTATCACACCGTACGTAGCTAACCGTGCTAATCGGAGGTGTGGGGGAAGGACAACAAATTCAACACAAAAAGCAATTCTAAAGAAATAAGTTTACAATATAGATTAAAAAAAACGCTTGACAAAGAAGCAACGTCATAAGTCATCAGTGGGGTGGAGCCGTGAATAGCGTCAATGCGCTACGACCCCGGTAACCTGTGTTCCGTTTCTGTCCACGGCTGACATCAGTGTCGAGGGTGACAACTCAGCCAGGCACCATCTCCTCGACTCCCCGTCCCCGACTCGTACCGATCGAAAAGTCCTTCACCAAATGACCGGAGGTTGATTCCCAGGGCCATAGCTAACATCAGTGAGCGAGCAATATCTTGAAGGGGTTCGTGGGGTGGGGGGGGGGTGACCACCCCTGGCCCCTGAACCCTTTCAGCAGTGTGTAGACTATTCACAGTAGAGGGCACACTATTCAGATGGGGGAAGGGGGGGTGGGGGTGGCCACCCCCCCCCCATCACAACCCCCACACTGACGAAGCGTGGTGAAGTATAGTCAAAACAACCGCCACGACCCAGGCGGCGTTTGGCGAGGCGTACGTCCAGCGGCAAAGCGAGCACGCGTGCTTGCGAGCGGGTAGGCGAAGCGTCGCGTGAGCGTCCCCCACCTTGATGGGCGTGTACCACTTCCGTGGTGGCTGCCGTTGGTGCTTGGGTTTGCTGGGGCCCGTTCGGAGCGGCTCGAACTCCTCCTCAGGGAGCTTGATGACGGCGTTCTTGGGTTTCTCCAGCTTGGCGCCCTCCTCGGTGGAGCCCTTATCCCCCCAGCGCACCTACGCACGCACAGACGAGAGAGCGCGCCCCGTGTGACTGGTTCGCTTAGGTGCCGCTGTAGCCGGTGTGAGCTTACCTGTGATGAATCGCACGTATAATTTTGCACTCTGCTGCTACGTGCATAGCAGGCCACGCCCAGCAGTGACATTATTTTGTGCAACCGTATTGTGATCAGGCTCTACTCGAGAACTTAGTTTAATCACGGGCAGCTGGATTTGAACCCAATATATCTCAGAGATGCAGACTCAAGAGCTCACCCCGAAGTGGAAATTCCTTTGAAAAAAAGAGCAACACGATCGAGGGTGTCGTCAAACAGCTGTGAAGTAGGCCAAGAGTCAGCGCGAGGCCTCAGGGCGAGGCCTCAGCACGAGGCCTCAGGGCAGCGTTCTTCACTAATTTTCCAAGGGGAGGGGGCACTTTCACCGATAAGACATCGTCAGTGTGAGGGCCGTCAAACCACCTGCAAGGAGTGTTATCAGATTTGTGTATCGTCTGGGCCTTGCGATGAACAACAATGCCTCGGGGCTTCTGTCACCTCCATTCTCTTAATGCCTCCAACTCCACGGCCTCCGTAATAAGACGCGTCCACCGTTGGCCATTTCTTCTTGGGCATCTCATCATCTGACGAGTCCTGAGCACGCACACGTACGGGCATCGCCAACATGTGAATGACGGAAGACTGAACAATTTCTAACGAGTCAACGTAATATTTCTTAAGGACGCCAACGAGGTGTGCACGACGCTCAAATGTTAAGTCGCAAAACTGTCCGCTGTAAGGACTGAGGTGCTCTGTTCAGCCTTACAAATTGCTACGTGACGCCCATTGTTAATCTACTGCTGGATAAAGTCCTCTCCATGACATGTCAACCGTGAGGCTTGTTTGAACATGCTTCACTGTGGAGCGTGGGTTGGTGAAGGTGTGGGCGGGGAGAGGGGGGGGTTAGGATCACTTAAGATACCACTCGCCATCGATATTTGCTGCTGTTGGTAAGCCAACCCAGGTTGTCGGGGTTTAAAGCATAGCGCGCTAACCAGTGCACCACCACTCGACTCGCAGTGCTATTCGAACGCACCGATGTCACATCACACAATGCGGTAGTGATGGCGAGCAGCATGGCTGCCCAGCCACATTCATCTCTCCCATTAAATGTTCACATTAGCACGGATAATCAGTTCAGGCCGAGGTGACCTAAAGCAGGGCCAATTTAGGAAACGATATCAATGGCGACTTGTACGGAGCATCAAGGCCAGGAATGTAACTATGACTGTACGTGCCCCCGTTATTATTAACAGTTGGTCAATAGTTGTAATTGTTTCTAGATTTGAAGTTTTTGTGACTGCAAGGATCCATACTCTTTGGTTTTTTCGGTAAAGTCATGTAGGTAAAAAATATAAAATAAATTAAAATTAAAGCAAATAAATTAAATCACGACGTTTCGGAAGCAACACAAGCAACCGTCATCAGGTGTAGACTGCTCCAGCAAAATTACTGAGGCGTATTGTATTTATAGTTTCTGCGATCCTGTTTGCCATTGTACGGTATTTGTTTGTATTACGTAAATAAACACTTAAAAAGGAAGTTAACCTTAGTCTCTGGGATCATAGCAAAGTACAACAACCTCGATTCAACTTTCACCCCAAATGTTTTAAACACAAACATATTATACATGTACGGCCCTTATGTCACTCCACCATTGGGCGAGGTCTGGCCACTGTGTGGGCCATGAGGTCATTTGACCATACTTGACCACGCTGGCCAGCGTGGGTTGGTAAAGAACTAAATAAAGTAATAGGTTTTTACCCTTTCAACTGGTACAAAAACTGACACCTTTATACAAGGCATCATGTTTGCAATAGCCACAACACAAGCAGTCAAAATGCAAACAAAAAGAAACAACTCTGATGATAATAATGTATGCACTGTCCTTGAAGTTGATTGGTCCACACCCGAGACAGCTTTTCTTAGAGCCTAGTCTCCATTGGTGTTGGATCAGATGACGCCAAAAGGCGTAAAGAACTAAACCTATGAACAATATGTATTTTTCCAGGTAAGGCCCACTGAGCTATATAGCTCCTTTTCAGAAGTGACCTGGCTATAACAAATGACAGCTCTACGAAGTGGCCCATCACGTGGACAACTGTAGCAGCCAAGTACTCTTAAACGCATCTTACTTCTTGATTTTTGTGTTCAGTTTGCTGTCCTTCTGCCGCACCTTTGATTAGCACAGTTGGCTATGTACAGCGCAAAAGTTTAACACGCATACATACACGACCACTCCCCAAGCAGACAAAACCACCCGTCACATTAAGCTAAAACGTATAACGCTCATATTAATATATGCTCTAGGTGCACTGCCTTAAGTTATGAAAACGTAACATTTCAAACTCTCAACCGTAGTGCTTACGATCTTTTTTTTTTCTGGCTGCGATCTCCCCTTTCCGCCACCGCTTGCAGCTGTGCGCGAAAACTCCGGGACAAATTCGAGCCTTAGTGCAAAAAAAAATTAAGTTACCTTATTTTTATTGGCAGCACAATTAAATATTCCGTACTGTATGCTGTCGAGAAGTTGCAATGACATGCCTTGTGGTCGCGGAAGATGGTCAGCTGGAAAATATGTGCCAAGGCTTCTGGCTTGCTGCTGCTGCTGCTACTTTTCTCTCAGTACCCCGGCTGAAAATGTTTCATTTTTACACAAAAAATTGCACTTAACAAATAAAGAGAGATGATGCCCTGGGCGTAACGGTTCGCGCACTGCAACCGGAAATGCAGAGGTTGCCTGTTCGACCCCATCCCCTGGCGTAGCATTTGAAACGATGGACAGAGTTTATTCAATTAACCCCCCTCCCCCCCATCGCCTCGGTCCACTCAGCAGCAAGTATGCATGGGTCAGCCGCAGATAAGACGATCGGCAGGTTCGTGTGTGGTTGGATAAAGTTTGGGTTAGTGCCACCTTTTCCAAGACACCAGGCCAGTGTGGAAGAGTAGGCCAAATTTCCTGTATTTTGTTAAAAGGCAGTGTCACTCATGAAGGTGGGGAGTTATTTAATTGATTTAGTTACGCTTCCAAATATGGGCTGCTAAATACACCAACTGCACTACCCAGCTGGACTTCTATTATAAAATCCCGGAATTCCGTTCGTCCATTTGTCCATCAACTAAATTATAAGAGCCTTTCAGAAGGCCCGAATCAAAAAGTTCTAGAAAGTGGACTCCACCCCCTCCCCCCAGATGTGGGAGTTCAAAGTTGATCCAACAGGTTTACAAAAATTGTCGACCCCTACACACAATTGAGTCAGTAGAATCTGCACACATTGGGGGGGACGGGAAGAAGAGGACATGAGTGGGGGTGACGGGCGAAACGCTGAGAAGCCCTACGTACAGCTCAAAAACGGATACTTCAGTTAAAATGGCTGAACTACTTATCACGGATTAGGAAGCAAGGATTTAAATTTAAAAGGTTTGGCTGAAAAGCCAATGTGCATTTAATCACACATGCGTGCTGTGAATCTGAGCCACACACACACACACGTGTGCATGAATATAATACCAAATGCAATAGTTACAACTTTGGATAAATGCGGCTAAACGTGCAGTGCATCGAATTCGAATGTGCTTAGCTGTGAGTTAATGTGATTGGTGTGTACTATATTAAACATTTATCGAGGCATTTGCAGTGAGGAGTATAGCGTAATACCAGAATGTAATGTTAAGTTGAACGAACATCTGTGTGTGAGATAGTGAAATGGAGTGCATAGTAGTACGTCTCCTCTCTCATCTCACTCTACGCCCTTCCACACACTCCCCTACCTCTCCCCGCTTAACTCATTCTAATCCCCTCCATGTACTCTCTTACCTCTCCCCCCTCATCTCACTCTACTCCCCTCTACACACTCTCCAACTCCAGCTACCAAGGCCTTCTGTCGAAGGACAACCATCGCGCAGTGGGAGGTCGGCTCATTCCCCTTCTGCTGTCATCATAATCTAAAAATCCCTTCAACTGCTGCGGTGACCTCAGGATTGCAAGTCCCGCGTGCTAATCATCACACCACGGTAGCGCGTCCCACTGCAGGAGGAATCCGATCTATTTTAATCTTTATCATTATTATTATTATTTATCCAGCGAATGCTCCTCGTGTCACGATTGTGTCTTGGCATTTCATGGAAAACAAATTTCCCTTTTTATGTTTTCATTTTCAATAAAACATCTGAAAATAGACAAACACTCTGCATACAAATTGCTGGTTAACTTAAAATAAAATGCACAAATATTTTAACGGAAGCCAATAACATTATTGATTTATTTTCCAGTCCGTGGGAAGACTCACAATCCGGTGCATGAATTATATATAATTATTAATGACACCAATAGTGCCCTTCATTATCCAGAAGGAATCTAAAGTTCTAAACTTAGTATGTTTTAGCTGCTTAAAGAGAATGTGCCTTTGTTAAAAAGGTGAAAATGCTAAGTTGGAAATAAACTGAATTGTAACTGAATTCATGATTCATTAATCATCAAAACCATGGTCAATCCACTGGTGGATGAAAGCCTTCCAAAGCTGCCACCACCTCTGACGATCCTACGATGTAACAAAGACAAAGATCCCCCATATAGCTTTTAACAGACCCTTGGAGCAACTGCTGTTAGCGAGCACCTATAAAGGCCGGCACTGCACACATGGTGGTGGGTGCCCCACACCACGGACCTTTGCCTCACCCAATTTTGATGTTTACACACCAAATACTCATTTGAGGCTGAGTTGACCTAGTAGAGGCCCGGGACCGGTTCAGATATCTGCCACCGTTGTCGGTCGTGAGCGGGAATCGAACTCGGGTGGCCGGTTTCGGGCACTAACAACCACATCACTGCTCACCAATGCGATGCAACAATCCAATTTCATCACTCCATCTCACAGGCAGACGTTTCCTCGGATGCATCAATTCACTTAACAACAACAACAAAAAACCCCAGCTGTTTCTTTCTCAATTGAACGTGGGGGTGGGTGCTCTGTTCACAGCCCTGACCCAGCAGTTGATATTCCACATTCCTGTGGTAGGGGGCGAGTCTTTCCATCAAACACGCGTCGTCACGACGCCCCAATAAAGCAATGCTCATTTTAAACAACCCTGCAGGTACGATGGGCCGAGCCGACCCCGGACAGGGATTGGATTCGTAACCTTCTGATTGTAAGCAACGTACCTCCCCCCCCTCATCTCGCTGTGCCATCTGGGCAGATCAAACAAAAACTCAACATACTGTTTGGTTCTTTCGGTAAAGTCACGGAGGTATGAAATCAAATAAATCACGACATATCGGGCGCAACACAAGCATCTGTCATCAAGTGGTTGCTTTCCCACCTGATGACAGACGCTTGTGTTGCGCCCGAAACGTCGTGATTTATTTTATTTTCTATCTACGTGACTTTACCGAAAGAACCAAAGAGTATGGATTCCTGCAGTCACGAAAGCTTTGAATCAAGATTAAAAACTCAACAATTTTATTATTTTAACCAGGTAGGGCCCACTGAGCTATGTAGCTCTTTTTCAGAAGCGACCTGGCCACAAATGAAATCTCAACGAAGTGGCTTATCAATTGGACATTTTTAGCAGCCAAATACTCTGAACGCATGTTG